GGTTGAGGGGTTTACACCCGCGGGCGCTGGGGTCATCGTAGCACCATCTTCGTTTTTCCATCACACATCACCCTCAGCATCATCATGAATCATCTTGTCTTTCATTCCTTACCATTATCCTGACCTTAATCGTTTTATGGGGGTTGGTTCTTCGGTTTTCTCATAAATTCTAAATTTATTAAGTAGTTTTATCATCATCTTTCATCACATTTCCTCACCTCACTCAAATTTTCATCATAATTTTCAGGGAGTATCATAATTCAAGGATTTGTGTGGTGTTTTCGGTCCTAACGTTTTCACAAATATTCATAATTGCTTTTATTATGAAGGTTTGTTAGGGATTTTTGCACTAGAAGTTTACGATGTCCTCGTCCTCTTGACCATCTTCGAAAAGGGCGCCTGACATGTTCTAATTTGTCCTTCAAGCAGTTGCACCGGCGTTGTTTTGAATGAAGAGCGTGATTGAAGCAAAAGCACGTTTTCACACATTTAGATACTTTCGGCTTTCAGTGACAATAGCAACTTTTCGTCTTAGGTGTGGCAATGGCTCCTAAACGCGGCTACACCACAAATGAAGAGAATACACCCGACATCGTTCAGGAAGAGAAGCCATCGTCAAGTGATGCCACCAAGAATGAAGAGAACACAGAGAAGCCGTCGTCAAGTGATGTCACCAAGAAGCAAGAGATTACGGAGAAGCCGTCGTCAAGTGATGCCACCAAGAAGCAAGAGATTACGGAGAAGCCGTCGTCAAGTGATGCTACAAAAAGCATCAACGGGATGACAAAGATTGAGAAGGAGCAGTCTCAGGTTCTCGTCACGTTCAAGTTCAGAAGCCCGGAGACTTCTTCACCACCGAGGAGGACAAGATCCAGTTTGACGCGTTGGACGTTAAGGAGGCGTTGAAGACCTGCGCGGAACTCTTCAACCAGATGAACCCACTTGCCCAGAAGCGTGACTACCTTCTCAACAAGCACAAGCTCAAAAATAAGCCAGTCAAGAAGGAGACCTCTTCATCGTCAACTACATCTTTGAACCTTCGTGCTGTTCTTCGTGGCACGACCGAACAGAAGGACATCACCGGCATCACGATAGACATGATCTACTCCAAGTTGAAGACAAAGGCTACCGACTTGCTCACTATGAACGAGACTCAGAAGAAGAACGCTGTGCTGTTCATCAACAATGAGCAAATCGCTTCACCAGGAAGCACACGCTTGCATTCCGACAAGTTCGTTACCCAGAACAAGGAAGGTAAAAAGACACGTGTGATTCTCCGCTCGGGCGATGTTCTCAGTCTCGTTCTGCGATTGTGTTCACAGGTTCCTTACCTATGAAGGTTCTGATATCCACGTCGGAAGTCTTAGAACCAGGGAAGACTGAGCCACTTGTGTAAAGTCCGTCTTCTCACGACAAACCGCTCATGTTCTTCAAAATTGCAGAGTTGAAAAAGCACAAGTTTATTGCATGTCTTTGACTTGCACCTTGTGCAAAACATTTGTTGAGGAACTTGACACATATACCGAAGCCCTTTCCTTTCATAAAGGTTTCAGTAGTTAAATCTTCCTTTGCGTCACCTTGCCAATCTTCAACGGCAAGAACAGTCCCACAAGCATAAAGGCGGTGAGATGGTCTTTGACAGCACCGCCTTCCACCAGAGGATTTCAAACGAGATGTCATACAGAAAGCCGTTGCGAATATCAACTGCAAATGAAGCACAACGTGAAGGGCGACAATCTGATGATGCTACGACTGCTTCTGATTAATGTGTAAATAGCACAACAAATAAATCTAAGCGTATGAAAACGGAGAGACGCAAAGAAATAGATCAGGAAAGGTTGGAAAAAGAAACGGTTTATAAGATAGGAAGAAAATATTGTTATGGAACTGATGTTCTTATCGAATCTAACGTATAATAGTATTAATTGATGCGTAAAGAAGCAAAGTGATCGGAGCTGTATTAGTATATAGAAAGCGGGGTTTTGGAAGTGCAAAGAGTTTATATGATGATGCTATAAAAGCGGGGTTGGTAATCACACAAGAAGAAGTTAAAGAATGGTTGAAAAGTCAATCCATAAAACAGAGGAGCAATTACAAACAATATAACGGCTATTCAGCACCTTTTGCTCGTTCTATTCCGTTGATTTGATGAATATGATTAGTTTAATGAAAGGTACTGACACCCACAATAAAGATTATCGCTATATGGATTTGTCTGTATTGATAACAGCACAAATTGTCATGCTGTGCCAATGCAAAACAAAGACGGTGATACGGCATTACATGCCTTAAAGGAATCTTTCAAAGCAATGGGTCATCGTCAATCGGTTTATAGTGATGATGAAGGAGCTTTATACGATACGATATTTAACATTTATTTGAAAGATGAGGGGGTATAACACATACTTACAACCTTAACCCACACGAATGTGGCTGAAAGAATGATAAGAACATTGAAGAAAATGATAAGTGATAGATTATTAAAGCGTGATGGAGCATGGACAACAATGCTAAAACCTGCTCTTGATAAAACCAATAAACGAATGGTTAACTCAACGACTGGTTTAGTTCCAAATGATGCTCACCGTTATGAAAACCACATAAAGGCTAAAGCAAATTCAGTAATGAAGGAAAAGTATTTACGAAGCTATCCAAATACTAAAGAAGGTGATACCGTTAAGGCCTTTACTAAATGCGGAGGTAATTATACCAGTAGGAAAGAAACGAGAAGCAAATGGAGTAAGAAAGCATATGAAGGTTAAGAAGTTGAAAGATATTTGCATCTTAATAAATATTGTGTTCTTGAAGGACTACCTAAACGATATATCAGACACGAGTTAGTGTTAATTAATAAATAGATGGTAAAACTACTTAAAGACAAATCGCCCTAGAATAGTAGGGACAATGACCATCTTTGACTGTAGAAGTGCCGACAGTGTCAGCATATGCGAACACAACAGAACAAGGAAACCTTCAATAAAACATTACCAGAACCAACAGCAAATATTACAGTTGTAGTAGTTGTAATCGTCTTATCGACATAGAAGAGGATCAGGGGGGGCGATTTTTCGGACCGTGCTGAGCGAGCAGAAACTAGCCCCCAAAAAGCTGTCGTTTACCGTCTTATCCGGCGAATCTCTGCCTACTTTCCCGCTGCGCAAGTGTCTGCTTTTTGGCAGTGGCTGCGCGACCGTCAGCAGCAATGCTCGCCGAAAGTGGTCTTGATGCTGAGCCTGGACGAAACATCGATCGGGTTTCTGGCTCGGCCGTGTTCCGGAATGGTTGTCTCACGGAGGCACTGGAATGACCGAGGTTTGGAGCCATGCATCCGGGTCAAAAAATCAGAAACTTGTGGCGCAGCGACATATGTGGCCATCATTGCCGACAATGCAGGAGTTCAAGCATGCTTACCACATTTCCTGATCGTGAATGAGAGTAAGCTAACGAGGACTTTACAGCGACAGGCGACAGGTGGCCACGCTACCTGCGTCGTCTGCAAGTATGGCACCGCAAGAGTGCATGGAACACTGCAGAGTGCACATGGTAGAGATCATCCAACATTTGGTAACCCATCTGGCTCCATGGTTTGCCAGGAACATACTCCTCCGTGATCAAGCTCCATGCCACTTGCCTGCCAAGGTCATGGAGGCTGCCAAGGACGCCAATCTCCACTTGGTCTATATTCCATCGTCGCTCACGTCGCTAGTGCAACCCCTTAACGTCGCCGCCTTCTCCAGGTTAAAGATGTGGTGGGCTTCAAAGTTTCAGGCGCTACGACAGGCATCTGACAGCCACGAAGTTTCTGAGCTAGCATGGATGGAGTTGCTTCGGACGGTTCCTCGCAAGTTTTTCGCAGCCAGGTCGTGGTCACGAGCTTTCACTGCTGTAGGTACCGCAGGGGATGTTACCGTCCTCAAGCGAGCGCTGAAGCGGCAGCTCGGCGACAGTGTGGTGATGAGTAGTTCAGACAAGCCTACGCCCGAGCAGCTAAGCTGCATTTGGCTTAAAAGACGGCGCATGGAATATGCCTATCTGTTGCTCATGCAACCTGGATCCTGACATCTCCCGTCCTCAAGCAAAAACCACGCCGGAGCAGCTTGGCTTGTTATCAGCAATCTCAAGGTAGGGGTGCTGAAAGGCTTTGGGGGCAGCATCGGGAACCCCGGCTCTACTACTGTAGGGGCCCATCATGCGGAACCCCCATGGTTGGCCAAAAAGCAGGCCTGTTTCTGGGACCCGGAAATGGTATAACCTAAAAGCTGCGATTTTGCAGATAAGCTTCGCGAAGGCGTTCTTTGCATCGTAACCTCCGCCGAAGGTCTGGGTGCATCGACTTGCAGATACGCTTTTTTGAAGGCCTCCTGGGCATCCTAGTAGGTTCTGGATGCATCGGTTTGCAGATAGGTTTTTGTGTGCTTGCTGGGCTTCCGGGTTTCTGCCTAATCAGGCGAGCCTTTGCGAGCCTTTGCGGCTCTGAGACGGAAGTGGGGTCTGAAGTCCTCCTAGCCTTCTAGAATGGCTGCAGCACCTCCCGTGGAGCGACGTGTTGATGCCGAGCGTGCGGGTGACGGTGCAGTGGTTGAGGCGTGCAAGCTCCGGCAGCATTTTGGGTCTTACTAATTTCGTATACACGCGAATCGGGTTGTGAACAGGAGTGTGCAGGAGATCCTCTGCCTGCTGATCCGATGGCCCAGCCGAAAGCGCAGCGTGCCGTCTTAAAGAAGGAGCTGAAGGATTGCACGAAGCAAATACGAAAAGAGGTCTTCCCCTCAGACTTCAGATTCAGTTGGGTAGCTGCCTCATGCATCTGCATTTAGCAGCGCGCGCAGGCCCGTAGAAAGCGACGATTGCTCAAGAAAGCCGAGAACCTCACAGCGAGGAGCTGAACTGGCTGATGGTGCGGCGCACTACACGTGCTGCTAAGGTCGTCAGCTCTAGATCTAGTTACCGCGTCGTGTGCCTCCGGTGCAGTTTCCGTATCGGTGACACGCGCCGCTATATAGGGACTAGATCGCATTTCCCTTTGCGGACTTGCTGTTGAATTTCAATAATTCTCACGGCAAGGCCGTTCGACTGCAGATGCTGTAGAGGCAGAGGCGCCCATGTGAAGGAAATACAAGCTTCTTTTATGCGAGAAATGGTAGCCATGGACGTGTCGGATCGTCTCGGCACCTCACAAGCTCAAGATGTGCTGTCGTGAGTCTGTGGCTTGTATTCAATTGCTGGCCCCAGCGTATGAGACAAACACCATAAAGCACTTCTAACAGCATCTTGTAAACGTGTCTCTTGGCGTGCCCGTGTATGCAATGGTCGATCTGCGACAACAGTGCCATCCAGGCCTTGGGGACAAACTATGCAAGCTGACATCCATGCCATGTTGCTTTCGGAAGCTATCCATCTCAGCTTCCAAGCAAAAATCTAGAACCCCAGACCTCAATTCCCAGCCATAGATCAGTAGCCAATGTGGTGGCCCTGCAAGGACGGCTGTTTGGAAGTGGTCAAGCCGATGATATCGCTCAGGCACAGCAGCCTCAACCTTAGCCTTAAACCCTGTAAGCCCGAAACTCTGGATGCATCGACTTGCAGATACGCTTTTGCGAAGGCATTCTCTGCATCTTAAATTCCGACTCCGCGGAAGCTCTGGGTGCAGCGACTTGCAGATACGCTTTTTTTGAAGGCTTCCTGGGCACCCTAGTAAGTTCTTGATGCATCGACTTGCAGATACGGTTTTGTAGGCTTTCTGGGCCTCCGGGTCTCTGCCTAAACTCTGCATGCATCGACTTACAGACACGGCTTTCAGAAGGCATGTGTTGCATTCTAGATTCTAGACCACATTTTGTGTGGACAAACGGTAGGCAGGAAGACACTCCAAGGTCTGCTTCCTTCTTGTCGCCTGTCCCCCGCTACAGTCTGCACAGGGTCAACTTGCTCTCCGTGTCTCGGTCTCCTTACTCCAATTGGCCTCTCTGTCTGCAGGCAGACGAAAGTAGAGAGAAAGCATTCTGAGGCCTCGGGCCACAGACTCTTGTTCCGAAGCCTTCTAAGGCATTCACCCGCAAAATATAATGGGCCTTAACAATTGGCATACGGTTTCAGGCGATACAACACTCTGGGTTATTCTTAGGGAACCCCAAGAAATAATATTATTAGGGTTGATAATATAAATCCTGCATTACTCATAATAAGGACTATACCACATTTCCCATGGTTGAGGGTCCTTAACGTAATGCAGTATTTCGATCATCAACAGTAGTGATTCGGCCCTATATGACACCCTAAACCCTGAAGCGTGAGACATTCCATGTTTCTGACAGTCACCAAAGGTGGCGCCTTGTATGACACCCTAAACCCTAAACCATCAGACATTCCACTTTTCTGATTCTGACAGTCGCCAGAGGTGGCGATGAGTGAGAGAATTCGGTTTCAGCGGAGACAACACCATAGGTTACTCGTAGGGAACCCTAAGATATGATATTCCTAATGAACCCGGCCCCTGTATTGCACCCTAAACCCCAAAGCATCCGACTTTCTCTCACCATTGGTATGCCGATTTTGTCTGAAAGTCGCCAGTGGTGGCGATGAGCGACGACTCTGTAAGAGTCACGACGATCAGTGATAGACACAGAAACACGTCCATATGTCCTTCTGTACCTCCAAAAACAATACACCCCAGTAGAGAACTAACTCCTTTTCAGCGTGCTCGGGCGCGAAGATGGTCCCAACATGACAAGCCGCAAACCATCAAGGGCGGCTCAAACATGCGCCCACTGCGCTAGAGTTTCCAGCACAGTACGTTTAGGCCTAGACTCAAGCGCGCTCCGGCCACAGTATGAAATCGTGCTCCCAATACAGTACGTTTAGGGCGCTCCCGCCACCATCCGATGCATTTTAGGGTACCATTCAATCGTGATGCCACCACAGTCCGATCGTGATCCCACCACAGTCTAATCGTGATCCCCACACAGTCTGCTGCAGCCTGTTATCTACCGGAAAGCCTTTCCTCGACTTCCTTCACCCCGACAGGACACACGTCCGGACTACAATGCTAATTAATTAGGTGGCGGGAGGGGTCCTGCTGGCCCTCCCAGGCGGACAGCACATGTAGGCTGCAGGCTAGACCGTGCAAGGACTGACGGGGTGTGGAGTGTAGAGTCCTGGCCGACTTGAGGGTGCCACCGCTGCCGGCTCTGGCAAATGCAGGCTGAGCTGCCACCGGAGCCAGTTCCTGCTCGCCCCGTTGTAGCATATGTGCTCAATCGGTTGGAAGAGCAGGGGTCGCTCATTCATGCTCGGGTTCCGACGATGCAGCCGACACAGCATCGTGCCTCTTCACGTACAATTCGGCCGAGCCGGTGGGAACCCTTTGTGGCCTGGCTGCAGACCCTCGAGTTCCTCCCTCGCTGGACAGCCACGCTGGAGACGTCCCTGCGATCTGGTCTTAAGGACCGCCTCCATCTGCATGTCTTCATGGAGTTCAATAAGGCAGTTGATTGGACGGGCCTTCGCGCCGTCACTTTCAACGGCATTCGACCCAATGCGCAAGCCACAGCAGGTCGAGGGGCAAAGATGAGGGAATTGAAAAACCACGGTCATTTCTACGTCTTTGCGGACAAGGCATCGCCAGGGCTGTCTAAACAACACTGACAAGGGGTCGTAAAATACCGCACCATTGTTGTTTATGAACCCAAGCCTCATCTTCAGGTCGGGACCTTGAAGGTAGCCACATCTGGGTATGAACCGTGGAAAGATTATCCAGTCAAAGGCCGGTGGCTGGATTCCTGGTGGTCCGAACACAAACTGACCCATGATGTCTACATTCGGTATGCGCTCGGGCCTTATCCTGTGGCCGACGCAGCTCAGATTTGCTAGGCTTTCTTTCGCGTAGTGCTAATGTTGTTGGATCCTAGCAAGCAGGTCTCAAGTGCGGCTTGGCTTCCTGGGACGCTTGAAGCAAGTCGAAACTGTTCGTTTTCACGAGCGCCTCGGCGAACGCCAGGCCCAGCAGATAGCAACGGAGCAAAGGCTCCAGGCGTTGAAGCGACCCTTCCGGCCAGAAGTCTTGGCAGCTCTGCAGCCCTGGGCCGCGCAGTACAGCACGGACCAGCTGCGCTACAAGTTCCTGGTCTTGCGGGGGGGTCCAGAACCGGCAAGAGCACGCTGGCGACGTCACTCGGCAGTGTCTACGGCTGGGGCAACCCTTAAATTTCATCCAGACAGTGCAGCGCGCATCCGCCCCCGATCTGAAAGAGTTTGAGAAAGGATCTCACGGCTACATTCTGTTTGACAATGTGAATGACATGCAGTTTGTGCTGGACCATCGAGCCTTGGTGCAGTCCAACAACTCCGTGCACAGACTGGGCCGTGTGTGGCTCTTTAAAGTCCCGACAGTCGTGACCGTGGATGACAGTGCTGTCTGGGATTCGAACGAGCCATGGATCCACGAAAATATGTTTGAGCTCATCTTGCATGGGCCATGCTACGAGTGAAGCGCAGCGATTGAGCAGCCTTTGCTGCAAAAACTCATCTGTGGCGCAGGTGGAGGTTGCTTAAGAACGCAGCTTAAGGTCGATTTCCGGCCTGGGTTCCGGGCGCAGGGCAAGCTCCAACTTCATAAGCCCTGAATGTAGAAACGAAAAGACCATATATATATATACATATATATAGGAAGATAACTATATCATTTATTAGGAACAAACGAGTAAGGTTTTTTGATAAGTTTGATTCAGTCTTAGATTTTCTACATAATAAAAAAGTAATGCGTAGAGTTACATACCAAGAAAATATCTTAATCTTGCATTATAGTTATTACAAAATAACATATCATGACAAACCGTTATTCAAAATCATTATGTATGAGTTCCTCAATAATTTCATAGGTAATGATACTAACTGTTTAAGCCTTGATGAGTTGCAAGAACATTTGAATGAACTGCTTGATGATTATAATGAGTAACAAATGGTTTTTAATAGCTGAATGTTTTAACATGCCAGAGGTTGTGCTTACAAAATCAACTAACAAAGACAAAAATATGATGCCATAAGTAGTGGAAACAAGAAAGTACCATTCAGTGCTGCTGGTTGTAGTGACCATACAAAACAGAGGGATGATAGATAACAAAGATACATAGCAAGACGCGGACATTCTCAATCTTGGAAAGGTATTGAAAAACCACAAACGTTGGCAAGATATATATATATATATGTGTATACATACGGGAAAACAAACTTAAGAATATGGAAAAGAATTTCAACATAGATATAAAATTAAAGAAATGAAAAAATACAGCAAAACCTAAATCCCACAATGACGGGCGGGCTGAGGGCGGTAGATGCTTAAAAGTAGGCTACGTTAATCATATACATAGAGAGATGCACAGGCAACTGCAAGGAGCAACCACACCATGCGAAATTCAGCAGTTTATATATGAAAACCCACCACCACGAAGTGGGAACACATTTTGGTATACAGTTTCATATAACTTATTGCGAATTCAAATTCTTGAAAAACAGTTCAGAGTAAACTTGATTTGTTTTTTTTTTGGGGTAATATTGTGCTAAGAGATGAAGAAAACATTATTGAACTGTATTAAAAACATGAACAATGCAGAAAATGAAAGCAGTAGGGAAAAGTTTATATCGAATGCAACGGTATGGATACACTGTATGTTAATACTTGTGTTATAAGGGATGCAGTCAAAACAATGACTGACAACCTAGATTTGAGAAAAGAAAAACAGTATTCAAAACAATAACTCAGGTATGGAAGGATAATGGGATTTGGAACAATAATTCATAAAAATTAGTATCAATCATTGTTATTATAAATGAAAAAATTTCCTCAAGAACAAAGAACCCAAACATACCTTCATAATAAAACTATTTATGAATATGTGTTAAAACGTTAGAACCTAAAATGCCCCAGAAATCCTTGAATTGAGAACTATGATGAAAACATGAGTGAGATGAGGAAATGTGATGAAAGAGGATGATACAACTACGTGGTAAAATAGAGTTTATGAGAAACGCAAGAACCAACCCCCATAAAACGATTAAGGAGAAGATAATGGTAAGGAATGAAAAACAAGATGATGAATGATGATTCGAGGATGATCTGTGATGAAAACTGAAGATGGTGCTACGATGAGCCCCAGCGCCCGCGGGTGTAAACCCCTCAACCAACCTTTCTACATTTTGTTCCCCCGCCCGCCCTCCCGCCCCCGCCCCCAGATGCTTGAATTATCATGTCCCCAGGTAGAGAGTCTCCGAGATGCTTTGGAATCATGGGGCCGGATGCCCAGTGGGTTGGGTTTAGGGTTTTAGGACTAAGGGGTTAAGGTTTTAGGATTTAGGTTTTAGGGTTTTAGGGTTTAGGGTTTTAGGTTTTAGGGTTTTAGGATTTAGGGTTTAGGTAGTGGGGTTTTTTTTGAGACTCTCAAAGACTCTCAGGATTTGGGCTTGGGGGCTCTGGGTTTAGGCTTCGGCTTTGGTTTTGAAGGGTTTTGTGCTTGGGGTCAGTGCGCAGGTGAATGTATTTGCCGGTCGATTTGAGTCTGCATCGGCCAGCAGGAAGAGTGCCTGCCAGACACGGATGATGAGGACCGCCTGACAGGACAAGGGTCGGCGATGGGTAGCACGCGGCATTGTAGGGTTTAGGGTCTCGGGGAGGCTTCGTGACACCACTGCAGAAGCTTCGCAGATCTTGAGCATGCTGTGTTGCCGCCCAAGACTCCGGCCGAGAAGCCCTCATTGGTTTAAGGTTTACCTATAGTCTCCATTGTAGTTCCTCTTTTTGGTTTAACCAATTCTTTATTAAGGACCCTAAACGGTATGCCCAAAAAGGAACTACAATGGAGACTATAGGTAGGATTTAGGGACCATGACAAGGAGCAGGATCACGAACACCGTGTTGCCGCTGCTTTCCCACTGCAGACGGTCCCTTTTATCGATCCGGCTTGCTTGAAAGAAAGCCTTACCCTCCTCGCAATAATTTCCTTGAGGTCTTGATTTTAGACGCGTGCTATCGCGTGCTCTTGCTTCTACAGGATTCGAACCCCCTCCCTTGCTTGGACTGACTACAGTTGGAAATCAGCTTTTGGTCTGGATTGTAGACTCCAAGGTTTATAGGCTGTACTTGTAGCCCCAAGCCGGACTTATGATGCAGTCATGACCCCTTTGCGACATAAAAACAATAGGTTATTAGATCCCTGGTCGTGTTGGGGGCTGCTGGTCTACGTCCAGGTTTCTGGTTGTATGGTAGGTATCAGCACCGTTGTGAGGTATGGGTTCGGGGGTAATGAATCAGTGTTTGTTAACAAGAACTGCCATTTGAACTGGCAGTAAATGGAAACTCCCTTGCAGTTCCCATCTCTCTCTCTGTCTCTCTTTCTCTCTTTCTCTCCATTGCATGCATGCATTGAGGGGGCTTTGGGTTCAGTGCTTCAGGGGTGTAGGGTGTAGGATCTACGGGGTTCAGAGGGGGTTCAAGGCTTTGAGGCTTAGGGACGTAGAGGCTTTAGGAACTTCGTGGATTCTAGTTGGAAATACAGGTAGTTCTCTAAATCGGGTCCCCTTCAAGGTCCTTTTTATAAGGGTGCCGAATCCGAATTATTTTGGGGGACCCTAACAAGGGACCCTAATTTAGACAACTATACTTAGGTCGGGATTTCGATCTAGGGCTGGATAGTTTAGGGCTCCAGGCTTGGGGCTTTGAGAGTCTAGGATCGAGGAGCTTACCCGAAACCCTAAACCCAAAACCCCTAAACCCTAAATCCCTAAACCCTAAACTCTAAAACCCTAAACCCTAAACCCTAAACCCTACGATTTCAGGGTTGTGGGGGCCTGCGTAGGTATAGGGATGTCGATGGGGGCTTGGGGTCTCTAGAACTCCGAAGTTGCATCCCGAAGTGCCTAAACCCTAAACGGGTTGGGGTTTCGGGGTTAGGGTTTAGGGGCTTAGGGGTGTAGGGGTTCAGGGGTTTAGGGGTTTAGGGGTTTCGGGTTTAGGGTTTAGGTGGTGTAGGTTTAGGGAACCCACATCAGGGCTTATGGTTTAGCGGTTAGTGGCGGTTAGCTTGCGCAGGCGCAGAGTGGAACGGCTTCATCAGCGAGTGGGCCGCTGGCTTTGAGTGGGTTGCGGTTTCCGGGACTTTACTATACGGTATTTTTTCTATATTATACTTTATTATTCTGTATAATGCTATACTATGATACTATACTATTATATTGTACTATATTATAATTATACTATATTATAGTATATTATACTATATTCTACTACATTATACTACATTATACTGTATTATACCATACTATACTATATTATACTATATCATACTATATTATGCTATATTATACTATATTATACTTAATTATACTATATTATGCTATATTATACTATACTATTATACTATACTACTATACTATACTAATATATATATATATATTATACTATATTATTCTATTCTATTCTATTCTATTCTATTCTATTCTATTATATTACATTAAATAGGTTATATTATATTACATTATACTATATTATACCATATTATCCTGTATTATACTATATTATACTATATTATACTAGATTATACTAGATTATACTAGATTATACTCTATTATACTATATTATACTACATTATAGGGTGATCCTAGACGCTATAGAATCCTACCCTGATGGTGTTTGGCTCTACATGGTTGACATGCCGGAAATTTAGATAAGAGCATCGCAACCACCATGGACACTAAAGTCACCACGCCTGAAACCTCAAATCGTACAAATCCTTCCCAAGAGCCCAGCATGAGGTATCCCGCAGTGTAACCCTTAACAGAACCCTTACACCCCGAACACCCTCAACAAGCAAACCAGCCCTTCTGCAGAAAGCTTCTAAAACCCTTTCTCCAATCCCACAACCCCCACTCCAGAGACCCCAAGCCCTAAGCCCTGTACAACCTGCAAATGAAGCCCTGCATCTAAAGAATAAACACACAAAGACCCCCGAAGCCGAAATGGAGACCTCAGTAGAGTCCTTCGCGGGGCCCTAACAACACCGTATTGAGTTCAAGGCTTCCTAAATCCAAATCTGAAGCCCTAAATGCGCAACCCCCTAATCCTAAACCCTATAAACAGCAAGCCCCAAACGCCAAACCTCGCCCTGAAACCCTGAGACAAAAGTCCAAACTGCGGCAACCCTAAACCCTGAACCCCTACCTGGACACACCATCCCCTAAAGGTCCATGTACCCAAATAGTGTATACCTTGGCCCCAAAGTACCTACATAGGGACTATTTAAGGCCAAAGTGTATACTATTTGGGTACAGTGGACCCTTATACCCTATAAACCCTAAACCCATCATAGTGCCCCTTCAAAACCCTTCAAGGAACCCCTTAAGGAACCCTTTTAAGGGAACCCTCTAAGGTATACTATTGGGTACATGGACCCTTAGGGATCTACCCTCGAATATACCCCGAAGACCAACCCTTGTGGAC